TTAATCCGGGATCATCTTTCCATCTTGAGACCCTTAGCTTAGTCACATCTGCCAACTCCCCTTTATCACGGAAGGTAACGTACTCACAAGTTTTGGGGGTGAGGTTGTGGACATCTTTGGGGGTCATTATTTGGTCCACCACAGGGGCTGCACAGAATGACACTGGACAGATAGGTGGCAGCTCTCAGTGTCTGGACCTTGGATGTGGGGAACGCTCCCGTGTGAAGCCCCCCAGTGTTGGGCCTCACTGTGCGTGAGCTTGATCCCAGACACAGTTTCCTGCTGGAGGCAGTTGAGCTATGGGGAAGTAGGAACGGAAAGAATAAGAATAATGTCAGCCTCTATTTCTGACTACAGTGACCCCGGGTAATGGATGTGTGTGCTCTTTCAGTTCCTGTTGAGGAGTGGGTTTTATGACTCTGTTGACCAAGTTAAGTATAGCCTTTTGAGGACCAGATGATATTCCTATACTCAGATAAAGATTTATAGCTTAGCCTGTGACATTTCTAGATTGTTATCCTTGTGACCACATGTTCTGTTAACAATGATAGAGTATATCACCTGCTTACCTATATGACTCGTGATTATGTACCCCCTCTGCTGACATTTGCTTTTTGCAACTTTCTGTTCCCCTTATTGTATAGCTTACGTAATGTGCACTGACGTCAATCCTTATAATCTAAAGGTATATATTGGAACCCTGGACACAAATACACTTGCTGCATAGGCATTGCCTAGTCAGTCCTCCAGACCCCACCTTTCTGTCTCTCTTTACTTCTGCGCACCCCCTTTTCCAGGCTGGGACCCTCTCGCTGGCCGAGACTCCCCGTCGCCCACACTTGGACTCTTTGCCCCACTTCCATCTTGGCCTGTCCCCTTCACTCCTGCCCAGTGCGAGTGTGCATAGACAATCACCTGCCCCCACACATGACACACACCCCGAGCCTGGCGGCCCTAGGCAGCCACCATGCCAGCATTCCCCTCCTCTCAAAATCTGCAGGCCTGTGGTCCCTGCACGGCTACACGTCCTAGGGCTGGTTTTTGCCCTTTTCTTGTTAAATTTAGTGCATTGTTAAATTAGCTTAGTCAAAGCCCGCCTTAGCCAGGCACGGTGGCGTGTGCCTGGAGTCCCAACTACTCGAGGCTGAGGCTGGAGGATCGCTTGAGCCCAGGAGTTCTCGGCTGTAGTGCGCTATGCCTCGGGTGTCCGCGCTAAGTTTGGCGTCAATATGGTGACCTCCCGGGAGCGGGGACCACCAGGTTGCCTAAGGAGGGGTGAACCGGCCCAAGCAATCCTCCCACATCAGCCTCCCAGGTAGCTAGAACTTCACATGCGCACTGCCCAGCCTAGCTCTTAAGAGCTTGATAATTATCTGCAAGTACAATGTATCACATAAAAGGAAGTGAGATCAATCACTGGGCAGATTTGATTTACTAAAAACATCATGCACTTCCTGTCCTAGATTCGTTTTTTCAGCCTAAAGGGTGTGTCTTTTACCAAGTAGCTGGGAACTGCTGTACGTTTCTTCACAGCACTCGGAAACAATAACCATTAAATCGCTTTTGCTATCTAAGTCAAATTATATCAGGCTCCATGCCCAACTTTCCAGGGTTTTGTGGTTGGACAAAGCCTGGGAAAGGTGTGGAGGGCTGGCTGGGCTGGCCTTGAATCTGCCGTGAGCACAGCTGAGATGCTCAGTGTTAAAAGACGCCCGCTGAATGAAGAGACCCCTCCAGACAGGCTTTGTGTGAGCAACATGGCTGTTTATTCATCGGGGTGCGGCAGGCTGAGTCTGAAAGGGGAGTCAGTGGAGGGTGGTGAGCTAGGAGTTGGTTTTATAGGTTTGGGCAGTTTTTGCAAGCTGGGAGCTGGTGGTAGGGTCTGGAGTCACGAGGTTGACCAAGGTCAGTTACAAAGTCCAACTGCCTTATCAATTGGGGCAGCAATAAAGAGCAATAGAGAATGTCTCAAAGTTAATTAGGTGCCCAGGGGCTGATCATTTCCTCCCCTTTTCATGGTCTTCCAGTTACTTCAGATTTTCCAGGAACTTACCTGGATTGTCCATGCAGGTCACAGAGGTATGGCGTGCATGGCACCGTCAGTCAGCCTAAGAGACCTTACACTCAGCAGTTTATCCAAAGGAGGTGGAGCTGCTGTTCGAGGCTCCCTACTCCTGGAATCTTTTGAGGTCCCAGGCATCTGGGTCCCCCTCGCCTATGGCTACACAAGGCTCCATGCCCAACTTTCCAGGTCCTAGGGTTGGACCAATAAGGTGCGGAGGGATGGCTCTCCCTGGAGAACCCTCCCAACCAGCCTCCCTGCCTGCTGGCCCACTCCCTTCCTTCTGGACGAGCCTTCCAACCTTGGAGCCTACGGCAGGGAAACTCCTATATGGAGGTGACAATGGGGAAGGAGACAGGATCTTTTTTGCAGGGAGTTCTCAGATGTGTACGGGCTACCCACCCACAAGCATTTCCCCCAAACGGTAGCAGTGTAGTCTCACTCTGTTGCCCAGGCTGGAGTGCAGTGGTGCAATTTTGTCTCACCGCAACCTCCACCCCCTGGGCTCAAGCGATTCTCCTGCCTCGGCCTCCTGAGTAGCTGGGATTACAGGTGTGCGCCACCATGCCCAGCTAATTTTTGTATTTTTAGTAGAGATGGTGTTTCACCACGTTGGCCAGGCTGCTCTCGAACTCCTGACCTCAAGTGATCTGCCCATCTCGGCCTCCCAAAGTGCTGGGATTACAGATGCGAGCCACCGCACTCGATCATCTTACATTTCTAAGACATTTGTCAAAAGCCAGAAAACAGTATTGGCATCTTAATATTAACTAAACTTCAGGTTTTATTTGGATTTCAACAGTTTTCACATTAATTTCCTTTTTTTTTTCTGTTCCAGGAAACAACCTGGGGCCCTGTATGCAAAGTCACCCCCAAATTTTGCAAAAGGAGCTGAGAAACCAAAGAACGTGGCAGACAAATCCAGTTTGTCAGAAAAGGGTAGTTTATTAGGCAACCTACAGACAGGAGCTTGGTCTTGGGCACAAGATGGGTATATCTCCCACTGTTACCCCCAGACCCTGGGCTTGTATGCCACAGGGAAAGGGCTGTGTGCTCTGCAGGGAGGTGACCTTCCAGGAAAAGACAAGAATGTGATTTATGTGTGTCACAGCCTGTAAACTGTGTGATAACATCAAGCTTGTTTTGACCTAGGGGCAGGATTTACCGTAAGTACATACTCTTATGCAAGGAGCGGTAGAGTAGAAATGTTTACAGGCATTTCTGGAACTGGGTTAGTCAGAAGCCAACATGGCAGATCAGCATCCAAGTTGGAGTTGTGTTAGCTCACAACCACATTGTGTCACCTTGGCTTCTTTTTGAAGTGGCAGATAGAAACTTACAAATAGGGTGGTGTTCATTATATGTAAGCTTGTCGGTGCTATGGAATTTAGACTCTCTTTTGACTTTAGTTTGCTCATTTAAAAAATAAAAATAAAAAAGTCAAGCAACTGGATTTGTCCTTTAAAAGCAAGAGCTTGCTAAAGGGGTAAAATTTTTACTTTCTCTTATTTTATTTTTTGAGACAAAGTTTTGCTCTTGTTGCCCAGGCTGGAGTGCAATGGTGTGATCTCGGCTCACTGCACCCTCTGCCTCCTGGGTTCAAGCAATTCTCTTGTCTCAGCCTCCCAAGTAGCTGAGGTTACAGGCATGTGCCATCACGCCCTGCTAATATTTGTATTTCTATTAGAGATGGGGTTCCACCATGTTGATCAGGCTGGTCTCGAACCTGACCTCAGGTGATCCGCTGGCCTCGGCCTCTCAAAGTGCTGGGATTGCAGGTGTGAGACAGCACACCCATACAATTACATATAATTTCACATATGTTAAAAACTTATCAAGACCAGGTGTGGTGGCGAAACTCCATCTCAAAAAACAAAAACAAAACAAAGCAAAAACCTTATTAAAATGTATATTTAAAACATGCACAGCATAATATATACCAGTTATACCTCAATTAAGCTGTGAAAACATGGACAAAAACTTTATGCAGACACCTTAAAAATAAGGTTGCAAAACGCTCAGTTTCTTTTTTTTTTTTTTTTTTTGAGACGGAGTTTCGCTCTTGTTACCCAGGCTGGAGTGCAATGGCGCGATCTCGGCTCACCGCAACCTCCGCCTCCTGGGTTCAGGCAATTCTCCTGCCTCAGCCTCCTGGGTAGCTGTGATTACAGGCACGCGCCACCATGCCCAGCTAATTTTTTGTATTTTTAGTAGAGACGGGGTTTCACCGTGTTGACCAGGATGGTCTCGATCTCTTGACCTCGTGATCCACCCGCCTCGGCCTCCCAAAGTGCTGGGATTACAGGCGTGAGCCACCGCGCCAGGCCCAAAACGCTCAGTTTCTGATTGCTGCAGTAGCAGTCCATCTGTATACCCAGATGTGACCTCTTAGAGAACCTTAGTAAGAAATTTAACCTAGGAATGTCCCTCCCTTGATCTGAATTGGAAATTCTGGTATTTCCTCCCATGGAAATCAGTTCAGGACCCATACGTAAAACTGATGCCTATTCAATGCTGGTGGCTCTGACCCCCAAGTAGTTCAAGGCCTAGAGAAATGCTAGTGTCACTTTGGGCTTGGAGAGGCCAACAACCCAGTGATGTCATAAACTACCTGAGGCTCACCTGCCGCAGGCTGAAGGTCACTGGTACTGCTAAGAAAAGAAGATAAGCCAAGGGGCAGGTGTCATACTCCAGTCCTGTGTTGAAGGATTTTTAAAACAAAGTATCATGCTGGGTGCGGTGGCTCACACCTGTATCGCAGCACTTTGGGAGGCTGAAGTGGGAGGATCACTTCAGGTCAGGAGTTTGAAACCAGCCTGGCCAACATAGTGAAACTCTGTCTCTACTACAAATACAAAAATTAGCCAGCCATGGTGGCAGGCACCTGCAATCCCAGCTACTCAGGAGGCTGAGGCTGTAAAATCGCTTGCACCCAGGAAGCTAAGGTTGCAGTGAGCCAAGATCACACCATCGCACTCCAGCGTGGGCAGCAGAGTGAGACTCCATCTCAAAAACAAAACAAACCAAAAGCAAAATGAAAAGAACAAACATCACAGAATCAAATATTTAGGTAATGGGAAAATAAATCTCAACTCACAGCTCCAAAATCCAAAGAGCTCTGAAAATCACAAACTTTTCCTTAACTCCTGACTTGAATTAATATCAAGCTAGATACAGTCCTTAATTCTTCCATTAAATGGGAAATGGGTATACCTTCCCTAGAAAATTATAAGTGGTTTGATTATAGGGTGCTGCCCACAACGTGCTGAGCATGCTACCTAATATCACCTGTACCATATCGCCTTTCTACAACGACAAATTAGGCTGGGTGCTCACGCCTGTATTCCCAGCACTTTGGGAGGCCAAGGTGGGAAGATTTATTGAGGCCAGGAGTTTAAGACCAGCCTGGGCAATATAGTGAGACCCCTTCCCGTCTTAAAAACAAGCCAAAAAAACCAAATCATGAAACATTTCTGGCTCCTGAGCTTCCCAGATAAGGGGATGTAGACAGGTGCTGATAACCACACACATCTAGTGAACACCTGTACTTGAGATGTTGTCTTGGGAAAAGCTCTCAACCCACTTGTGAAGAAGAGAGCAGTATCCCCTTCTCGCCTGGGAGGAAAACTGAAGCTCAGAGGCCTTGTGTTAGAGGTCAAGTTAGAAACCACAGAACCCACCCTAGCTAGTTTAAGCAGAAAACAAATTTATGGAAGGTCAGGTCACTGGTAGCAGAATCCTTGGAAGATCCAGGAATCCGGCTTCGGGGCCTCAAGTCCAGGAAATGTGCTGAGGTTTCCTTCAGGGAGCTCTAGTGAGCACATTCTTTCTCCACAACCTCACTGGTACCAAGGATATTAAACAGGGTAATATTTGCCCATGAAACTGCTCCCCCCTCAAAATATCTCACTGTTGCTTGATTTGCATTTTGCGACTGTGAGTTTGGCCATCCATTGCTTTAACAACACTTGAATCTCTTTTTCTATAATCACATCTTTTGTCTCCCACCCCTCTTTTTTGTCTTACTCTGTTGCCCAGTTTGGGGTGCAGTGGCATGATCACAGCTCACTGCATCCTCAACTTCCCAGGCTCAAGCCGCCCCCCCACCTCAGCCTCCCAAGTAGCTGAGACTATAGGTGGGGGTCACCATGCCCAACAAATTAAAAGACATGCAGAGAGACGAGGGTCTCACTAAGTTACCCTGGCTGGTCTTAAACTCCTGGGCTCAAGCCATCCTCCTGCCTCGGCCTCCTAAAATGCTGGAATGACAGGCGTGAGCTACCACGTCTGGCTGTTGAGTGGGTTATTGTCTCCTCTAAAAATTGAGTCATGTATTTGTGCTCCCTCCCTGGGCATTTGATGCTGGTGACCAGTCCCTGCTCCAGGCGCCCCACAGGGCAGGACCCACCCTCCTGGAAGCAGTTCCACTAACCTGGGGAAAGCCCAGATGGCAAAGGAAGGCGTTGATTGCAGCCTGGGATGGCTGGAAGCACTCAGGTAAACCTGGCTTGGACTACCTGAAGCCATCATCAGAGAGGCTTGGGAAGCTGGGCTCAGTCACGAGGCTGGGTTGGAACTAATGGGAAAAGGGTGGTTAGAGGAGATTTCCCTTCTCAGTCCTGCCGTTTGGCTACCCTACGCTCAATCCAGTCTTAGCAGCTTCGCGCTCAGCTTGTAACTTGTATCCAACCCACTTAGTGAGAATAACCAGTGGGTTCATGTGATGCTTGCTGCTATGCGGTTTATGTGAGAAGACACTTTTACCGGTGGTTAAAGTCCTTCGAATTCTTCACCTTTGACAGAGAAGACAAAGGACCTGTGGTTATTATGTGATAACCACACAGTATCAAAGCTTACTTAGCTAAGTGTGAAAGTAACAATAAGCACCGCGAACATCAAGGAAGCTCAGGAAACTCTTCCTCGAAGCCTTTTAATGACATTCAGCTCTGCATAAAAATCAGATTCCTCTCAGCTCGTATGCACAGGATGCCCAGAAAGAAGACTCTGCGGAATGGATTTTCTTGGTATATTCTAAGTTTCATAGAAGAGGTTCTTGATTAGTTATTGAGAGGGAAGAGGGCCTTTCACTGAGATCCAGGGTGGCCTAGGTGCACCCTGTTTCTTTCTGGAAACAAGTACATAGGTAAACAGCTCAACTGACGTCTCATTAATAAATGTTTATAGAGAATTGATAAGGCAGCTGGGCGTGGTGGCTGATACCTGAAATATCAGCACTTTGGAAGGCTGAGGTGGGCAGATCACTTGAGGTCAGGAGTTTGAGACTAGCCTGGACAACATGGTGAAACCCTGTCTCTACTAAAAATACAAAAATTAGCCGGGTGTCGTGGCAGGCGCCTGTAGTCCCACCTACTTGGGAGGCTGAGGCAGGAGATGCGCTTGAACCCAGGAGGCAGAGGTTGCAGTGAGCTGAGATTGCACCATTGCACTCCAGCCTAGGTGGCAAGAGTGAAACTCTGTCTCAAAAAAACAACAAACAAAAAAACTTAGGACAATAAGCTGGGCATGGTGGCTTACACCTGTAATCCTAGCACTTTGAGAAGCCGAGGCAGGAGGATTGCTTGAGGTCAGGAGTTGAGACCAGTCTGGGCAATGTAGTGAGACCCCTGTCTCTACAAGAAAAAAAAAAAATAACCAGGTATGATGGTGCACACCTGCATCCCAGCAGCTTTGGAGGCTGAGGCACGTGAATCGCTTGAGCCCAGGAGGCAGAGGTTGCAGTGAGCTGAGATCATGCCACTGCACTTCAGCTTGGGTGACAGAGCAAGACTCTGTCTCAAAGAAAAAGGAAAAAAAAATTGATGCTGAGGGAAAAAAGCCAGTCACAAAGGACCACATATTGAATGGTTCCATTAATATGGAATGTTCAGTAAAGGCACATCCAGAGAGACAAAAGGTACATCGGTGGTTGTCAGAGGCTGGGGGCAGGGGCGACGGAGTAGGTATGACTGAGTAACAGGCTTCTTTTCGGGGAAGTGAAAGTATTTTGGAACTAGATACATGTGATGGCTGCATACCAGTGTGAATGTACCAAATGCCTCTGAACTGTACACTTTAAAATGGTTAATTTATGTTATGTGAATTTTACCTTGATCATTTAAAAAAAACACGCAAAAATGACATCAGGCCCTGCTGCCTTGCTCAATTCACCCTCCTTCCCTTCATGGATTTGTTACTGTCTTGTCTTGCAAACGAGGACAAGTCACAACTGCGCTTCAGTTTGCTGACCTCTGGAAAGGCAACCCTGATGCTTGCTGGCGGGTGAACCCCCGGGCAGGTTTCCTGTGTCCTCCTCAGAGCCTGGGTCACGTGGTGCTTTCTGTGGCCCACTGCCTCTGCCTCTTGAATCAACTTTGTGACTAAAGCACCGTGCACTGTGCTTTGCATGGTCCCGACTGTCTGGTTTGTCGGGGACTTGGGGGCTTTTCCAGATGCGGGACTTTCAGTGCTGGACCTGGGAAAGTCCGGGGTAAACCAGATGAGTCAGCGGCCCTGCCTCTTGCTCTAGATAAGTAAGGCGTGCAGAGGTCAACGCTACAGCTCTCTCCATCTAGGGGATCTTCCCTCACTGTGAGTGCAGAGAAGGGGGCTCCCGTGTGCCCTGTGCCATGTGCCGTGTGCCGGGAGAGGAGGCTGGATCTGAAGGTGGGTGGAGCCGGGACAATACTAGATTAGGGGCTGCCAGCAGTTTCTCCTTCTGCTTTGTTAGTTTTTGAGATGGCATCTTGCTCTGTCACCCAGGCTGTGCCATCTCAGCTCACTGCAGCCTCAACCTCCCAGTCTTATGTGATCCTCCCACCGCAGCCTCCTGAGTAGCTGGGACTACAGGAACGCACCACCAGGCACAGCTAATTTTTTTGTATTTTTTGGTAGAGCCAGGGTTGCCCAGGCTTGTCTCAAGCTCCTGGGCTCAAGAGTTCCACCTGCCTCGGCCTCCCAAAGTGCTGGGATTACAGGCGTGAGCCATCACAGCTCAGCCCAGTTTCTCCTTTTGGAATAAAAGCTGGAATTTTCTTTGAGGTCCTTTTTGGCGTCAAGGGCTAACGTCATGAGTGGCCTCTTAGATGACATAGATGACCAACAACTGGTGATGACCAGCAACCTAAAAATGATGCTGATGGTGGTGCCGGGCGCTTGGCAAGATGATTTTGGCTGAGCAAGGGCCTGGGCTTAGCTGCATCTGTGAGTGAAATTAGGGGATGCCTCAACCTGGGTTATGTAAAGGGACCAACACATCTATTTTTTTTTTTTTTTTCAAGAGATGGGGTCTCGCTATGTTGCCCAGGCTGGAATGCAGTGGCTATTCACAGGTGTGTTCCCACTACTGAACAGCATGGGAGTTTTGACCTGCTCCATTTCCGACCTGGGCCAGTTCACCCCTTCTTGTGGTCTTGGTGGGGGACTTGGTGGTCCCCCGCTCCTGGGAGGTCATCATATTGATGTTGAACTTAGTGCAGACACCCAGTCGGCATAGCGCACTATAGCCCAGAACTCCTGGACTCAAGCGATCCTCCAGCCTCAGCCTCCCAAGTAGCTGGGACTACAGGCACACACCACCACACCCGGTTATCTATTTTTATTTTATTTTATTCTATTTTTTTTTTTATTTTTTAGACAGAGTCTCACTCTTGTTACCCAGGCTGGAGTGCAATGGCGAGATCTTGGCTCACGGCAACCTCTGTCTCCTGGGTTCAGGCGATTCTCCTGCCTCAGCCTCCTGAGTAGCTGGGATTACAGGCATGCGCCACCATGCCCAGCTAATTTTGTATTTTTAGTAGAGACGGGGGTTTCTCCATGTTGGACCAACAAATCTACAGAGATGCCATGGAGACTCTGAGAAGAGTGACTGGGCCTCTCTGCTCTTTCTTTTTTCTTTTCCTTTTCTTTTTTCTTTTTTTTTTTTTTTTTTTTGAGACAGAGTCTCTCTGTTGCCCAGGCAGGGGTGCAGTGACATAACCTCGGCTCACTGAAACCTCCCGCTCCTGGGCTCAAGCAATTCTCCTGCCTCAGCCTCCTGAGTAGCTGGGATTACAGGTGCCCGCCACCACGCCCGCTAATTTTTTTGTATTTTTGGTAGAGTCAGGGTTTCACCATGTTGGCCAGGCTGGTCTCGAACTCCTGACCTCAGGTCATCCACTTGTCTTGGCCTCCCAAAGTGCTGGGATTACAGGCATGAGCCACCGCACCTGGCCTCTGCTCTTTCTTGGAAGTTCAGTGTCACTGGAGGATGTCTGATGGATTGAGGGGTGGGGAGAGCTTGGCTGGGTCTGATAAAAGATCTGTAGGGGCCAAGGTTCCCACAAGGCTGGATGCCTGGAGGGGTTAGGGCCAAGGGAAGCCTGAACAGAGGGCTGGAGCAGAAGTCACTTGGGAAGAGTGTTATCTGAGTCAACCTGTGAAGGACATAGCCCTGCCAATGCCTGATGAGGTGCCTTCCAGAAAGTGGCTGCTATGATTCAAAAGCGGGCCCCTAGACTGGGCATGGTGGCTCACGCCTGAATCCCAGCACGCAGCACTTTGGGAGGTTGAGGCCAGTGGATCACTTGAGCCCAGGAGTTTGAGACGAGCCTGGGCAACATGGCTAAACCCTGTATTAAAAAAAAAAAAATTGGCTGGTTGTGATGGCGCATGCCGGTAGTTCTAGCTACTCAGGAGGCTAAGGTGGGAGGATTGCTTGAGCCCAGAAGTGCACTGCAGTGAGCTGTGATTATGTCACTGCACTCCAGCCTGGGTAACAGAGTGAGACCTTGTTTCAAAAAAAAAAAAAAAGAAAGAAACTGGGCCCCTAATATAGTGCTTCTAATCACCCCAAAAAGTGACAACAACCCAAATGTCCATCAACTTGTAATTAGATACACAGCATGTGACATATCCAAACTGTGGAAATTCTTTGGCAATAAAGGAAAGAGGCACTGATACATGCTATGACACGGGTCAACCTCAAAAATGTGATGCCGAATGAAAGACGTCAGTCACAAAGGTCATGTATTGTATTATCCTCTTTATATAAAATAATTTATATATAAATTAATGGACACCAGGGGCTGGCAGGCAGGGGAGATGCGGAGTGACTGCTAATGGGTATAAAACATCCAGCTCACAGATGCTCTGCTTAATTTTGAGGTCATAGCTTCCTCCAGCATCCTCCGGGGTCTTGCTGTCTCTGTGGCCCCATCATCCATGGGTTTTGTTTATGCTTTAAGACCAGCTCTGTGTGGAGGAGTCCCTGAAGCAGGGGGATGATGGGGGAAGAAACCAGGCCAACCCGGCCAGAGGCAGGACAAAGCAGACCAAGGGCTCCCAGCAACCCGAAGAGTACTCTTTGACCAAATGTGGATTTCCGGGAGCACAGACCCGGCTGCTGCCCCAGGCGCTGGCTTCCTGTCTTGTCAAGCCTCTGCTATCCTGTTGTGTGAGTCAGAGCAAGTCCCAGCAGGCGTGGGAGGCCTGAAGACAGCCCAGCCAGCGTTCTCAGCTCGGCCGCACGTTAGAGACACAAGGCATGTTTAAAGACTGGTGTGGTGGAGAATACAACTTCCTACTCTCTGAAGGTTTGATGGTTGAGTCTATGAAATACACTGACAGTGGACAGATTAACAGGAGAAAAACCATTTTATTTATGTGCATACACACAGAAGTCACACCAAATATGAGGCTCAAAAGGCCAGATGATTGAGGTTTATACAGCATTCTGTTTGTGGGTTTTTTGTTTTTGTTTTTGTTTTTTTGAGACGGAGTCTCGCTCTGTCGCCCAGGCTGGAGTGTGGTGGTGCAAACTCGGCTCACTGCAATCTGTGCCTCACAGGCTCAAGTGATTCTCCTGTCTCTGCCTCCTGAGTAGCTGGGATTACTAGCTACTGTGGTGGGAGGTGACACACACCAGTAAGAGCATGGTGAGCAGACCTGCTCTGCAGAGAATCAGCATTGAAGCTGATAGAGATATCTCAAAGCAGCCCTCTGCCTGGTATAGACATTTTTTACTGATGTAGATTTCCTTTGTAAATGCGAATTTTCTTTACAAAAGGACAGCTTTTCAGCTACTCCATGCCTGCAGTTTCTCAAAATAACCAGCTCAGGCAGGGGGCAGTGGCTGACGCCTGTAATCCCAGCATTTTGGGAGGCTGAGGTAGGCGGATCACGGGGTCAAGTGACCAAGACCATCCTGGCCAACATGGTGAAACCCTGTCTCTACCAATAATACGAAAATTTTCAAGGCATGGTGGGAGGCTGAGGCAGGAGAATCGCTTGAACCCAGGAGGAGGAGTTTGCAGTGAGCTGCGATAATGCCGCTGCACTCCAGTCTGGTGACAGAGCGAGACTCCATCTAAAAAAAATAATAATATTTTTTTAAAAAGCTCAAAATATGCCAAGGAAGTATTTGTTGGCACATTCTGATGTCCTATGGCCATATTTTGGGTGGTTTGTCCTGAGTCCCAACATTAGCAATGTTCAGGCCTATCCCTAGCATCTACAAGTCAGTTGGGGTGGGAGGTGGGCCCCAGGCCTGGACCATGCTGTTAGGGTGACAGCCCCTCTTCTAAAGCAATTTAACACAATAGAGCAAAGAACATGCAGCCAAAAAGGGAGAAGAAAAGCATTGCAGAGACGTGTCAAGCAGTTAATTTACACAAATATTGTTCTTTTCTAGGATTTTTTGATGTTCATATATGATTCCCCCATTTTTTTTTTTTGAGATGGAGTTTCGCTCTTGTTGCCCAGGCTGGGGTGTAATGGTGCGATCTTGGCTCACCGAAACCTCCGTCTCCCAGGTTCAAGCGCTTCTCCTGTCTCAGCTTCCTGAGTAGCTGGGATTACATGCATGTACCACCATGCCTGGCTAATTTTTGCATTTTTAGTAGAGACAGGGTTTCTCCATGTTGGTCAGGCTGGTCTTAAACTCCTGACCTCCGGTGATCTGCCCTCTTCAGCCTCCCAAAGTGTTGGGATTACAGGCATGAGCCACTGCACCTGGCCTGGATCCCTGTTTGAATGTTCATATTCGATCCCTTTTTGAGATTTGTAACCTATAACCTTATTTTCTCGTTTTACATAAAGATTCCCTTTTGTATCTAATTTTGTATTTTTCTTTTTATTTTTTTGAGGTGGAGTCTCGCTCTGTTGGCCAGTCTGGAGTGCAGTGGCGTGATCTAGGCTCACTGCAACCTCTGCCTCCTGGGTACAAGAGATTTTCCTTTCTCGGCCTCCCAAGTAGCTGGGATTACAGGCGAGCACCACCACGCCTGGCTAAGTTTTGTATTTTTAGTAGAGACAGGGTTTCGCCATCTTGGTCAGGCTGGTCTTGAATGCCTGACCTTGTGGTCCACCCACCTCAGCCTCCCAAATCCCAAAGTGCTGGGATTACAGGCATGAGCCACCACGCCTACCAGTATTCTGGTTTTTTTTTTTTTTTTTTTTTTGAGGTAGAGTCTTGTGCTGTCACCTAGGCCGGAGTTCAGTGACATGATCTCGGCTCACTGCAGCCTCAACTCCCACAGTTCAATTGATCCTCCCACCTCAGCCTCTTGAATTGCTGGGGCTCCAGGCATACACCACATTGCCTGGCTGATTTCTTTGTTTTTGTAGAGACAGAGCCTCACTAGGTTGCCCAGGCTGGTCTTGAACTCATGGGCTCAGCACTCCTCCCGCTTTGGCCTCCCAAAGTGCTAGAATTGTAGACATAAGCCACTGCATCTGGCTATATTCTTTTTCTTAAAGAAGGGGTCTCAATGTTGTATATGC